GCAAGTTTTTTTTTTTTTTTTTTTTTTTCCTCCAGAATTCACTTGTAAAGGACATTCTCAGTACTGAAAAGAAAAATCGCTATAAAAACCAGACAGGCCTTATAACAGAGCAGTGGCGTGTTAACTGGATAATAGTGAGGCAAATACTTATCACAAGAAGAATAAGCACAATTCCATATTTTCTCACACAGCATCAATCAACTACTTGGAAAGGAGGATACCCAGAAAAGATGAGGCTGTGTTTATGTTTTGTCACTTGGCTACATGCAAAGCAAATGAATTACCTGTCAGGCTTGGAGCAGTGCTTCTGAAGACAAGAGGAAGAGCCAGATCCCTTTAAGTAGATAAAAAAAAAAAGTCAAAGTTATCAGAGTCTGTTGTGAATGATCCATGGGTATGGCAGGAGTTTTGTTGAGGCATTTTCATTGTTTAAATGCAAGCATGTTTTGTCTCTATTAAATTATAATTATACATCTTTTTAAAAACAAATTTATTTCTTCCATGAACCAATAAGACAGAGGAACAGAGAGACCCTAGTAGGTTCTTGACACTGTGATCTGCCCCAGCCTCACCAGCCCTAAATCTGGACGTGCATGTGCATACCCGAGTAGTCTCAGGCTCTCTAGATGCAAACCTGGACCTTCTCATGTAGGTCAGCCTGAGAAGGCATTGCGTTTTACCGCTACACTAACCCCTAATGCTGCATCTTAATCATTGGCATTGTGAATTCAATGAAATCCATCAAGTGGCCGATCCAGTTTCCAATTCAAGAAGCCTAGGCCAGAGACTTCATCCACATCTACTACCCTCACGGTTTTTATTATCTTTCTGGCAAACATTTGCAGGGCCAGTTTTAGAACACGGCGTGGTTGATAGTGAGATGATGGCCTCTTTAGTGCTTAGTGTCATATTTAAAGTAGAATCTTCTCCAACTCCCAATGCTCTGTGACTTTAATTAATATCTATTTTAAGTTAGCCACATCCTTGACCCTCTGTTTCCTACCTTGATTGTATACAAGGACATTCAGGAACACTTACTGTTGCCGAGATAATTACAGCTATCGGGGTGGGCAGAAGCACGGCAAGTAGTATCTCCCTCTCTGGGATTTAGTTCAGAACTAACTGAGAGATCGACATGATGTCAGACAGATAGAGATTAAAACATTAGCTAGTGAGAAGTATTTGATCAAAAGACCGTTTAGATGGTGTCTGTGATAGGAGTACTAATATTTTATTTTTTTGGAGAAGTTTTTGCTATAGGGCACGTGCGCTTGCCAGACAGACAGAGACAGAGAGACAGAAAGTGAGAAATCACCCCCCAGGGGGGATGGCCACGCCGCAATCCCTTCTCCTCCATTCTCCTCTCAGGATCTTGAGCACGCATGCACACGCGCCCGGCCTGAGTTTTAAGCCACCGGGTCCGGGACGCGAACTGCGGTCAACTACGTGGGAGTCCAGCGACATAGCCATTACGCTAACTGCTGGTCCCAGGAGTACTAATATTTCATCCCCGAGTTATTCAGACTTTGCACCTGGCCTAGTGTGACAGCTAAAAAGCAGAAGGGCAGGTCTTTACTACATGGGGGGAGCAGATCAAAATGCATGTATTTTATAAACAGGCTGATTCTTTTTCATGACTCAGGGCACTTTACTTGGAGAAGGTTGGGGCATAGGGGAGGAATACCCAGGATTGTCACTGTAATGAAAGTGCCTTCTCTCAATGCAAATCCAGGCCACAGATCAGGTGGCTTTCCACTTACTATGACCAGGAATAATGACACCACTGGACAGAGATTGCTCATTGTTAAGTGTTTTCTTCATTCTGACACTAGCCGGAATCAGTGGACTTGGCTAAACAGAGATGGTGGTGATTTTGCATTTAATTTGAACACTTTACAATCATCCTGTGTCTAGAGTGGTTTTTCACATTTTTAAGAAAAGTTTATTTATGTATTTCTCCAATGAGGGAGAGAGAAACAGAAAGAGAGAGAGAGGCACTCCCAAAAGGTCTTCATATCAAAATCCACCCCTCATCTCAGCCAGCCAGGTCATGGGCACACCTGGATGCGCATGGTGCACAGGGAGATCCCAGGACACAAACCCAGAGCCTGTCCCATGTGAGTCCATCTGTGTTATTGCTATGCCACTGCCTGGCTTCTCTTTTCACAATGTTAATTTATTTGAATCATACCCATCTTTGCCTCATTGCCCTTTACTTTAGGTACTATTTGTAAGAACAGTCAGAAACTTGTTCATCCAAGGCTAGCATTTTACTCAGAGGAAACTTGAGAGGTCACATAAGGAGTCTTCTGTCTTCCCAATGCTAAAACTTCCCATCAAAAATTAGTTCAACTCTCTGAAGCTTTGGCTACATAGTAGCAACTCTCTGGATGTTTTACAGATATCTGAATGTTAGCAACTTACAGATCTGAATTTGTCATTTTTCTGTAAGTCACCATATTCCAGATCTAATTTTCATTTTCAGATCATCTCCCATAAACCATGTTTTCTCTGTGGAATTATTGAACTGTGGACTGGCACCATGGCCTGCTGGTTAAGACAGCCAGATCCTACGTCGCCTACCATGTGGTTTGAGTCCTAGACCTGGTGACTTGGCAAACATGCCAGTTGTGTGTATATGTGTGAGCCCAAAATCTTGAGTGGAGGTAAAGATGGGGGAGAAGGAACTATGGCATGACCATTCTCCATGGGCAGTACTTCTCTGTTAACATAGTGCTGAGTAGTAGATTCACCATAAAGACCTATAATTATTAATCACTTCAGGAGTGAATCTCAAAAGAGTCTGCAGACTTCAGATTAGAACTTCATTTGTTCTTGTTACTTTATTCTGAACATTAGACTGGTGGTGATTTTGCTTGGGCCAATTTGGGCCAACCTAACTACTTTTATGGAAAATAAACTTAGTGCTAGTATTCTTACTCCTAAAAGTAAGCAAATACAATCTGATAATTATCTTTTATTTAGAACTCTATATTGTACCTTAATCTTGTTTCTGGATTTGTGGTGGTGAGAGTCTGGACTTACAAGATAACTTGAGGGAAAGGTCACATCGGTTCCCATTTCAAGAGGGGATATGACTTTTACTTCCTTGAAGAGCAGCCTGTGGAGGGTGTCCACTTGAAGACTGAGAGAACAAGAAGATGCATGACTTGTCGGGAACAGATGGGAGCCCAGCCAGGGAGGAGAGTCCAGCTGGGAGGTTTCTGAGCTGTTCTCTGGCCCTTTGTCCTTCCATCTCTACCCAGGCGACGTTGTCACTGCACTGTTCCCCTCGTTTTTTCCCTTCCTCCCCTAAAGGAGCCACTATGCATGTCCACCCTTCCTGATGACTCCTTTCTCCTCTCCATTTGACCTCATCTCGCTTCTTTGCTTACTAGAACATCCACTTCTCTTCTACATCCCCTGACCAGTCACTGGCCTACCCTGCACAGTTACTCACTTAGGTGCACAACCGGATATGCATCCGAAGGGGGGATTTGAGCTTTGGCTTGGCCAGGAACTAGCCAGGTGACCTCAAGCAAGTCTTGTGTGTTATCTCCACAGACCACAGTTTTCTCATTGGGCAGTGGTCTCCAAGCACACATCCATGTTGGGATGTGAATCTTTTGAACACAAGCACGGTGATAGAACCTGGTAGAGTAAGGGTGCATTTGCCATCACAGACTACTCCCTGGTGCAGAGGTGGTTGTTTGGCTTGATATGTGTCTACTGCTGTTAATTCTTCATTTTTCTTTTTCAGGGCTGGGAGAGGGTTCTGCCCTCCTTCATCCAGACAGCAGATCCCATCCTAGGTCCCTAGAGAAAAGTGCCTGGAGGGCTTTCAAGGAATCGCAGTGCCATCACATGCTCAAACATCTCCACAATGGTGCCCGGATCACTGTGCAGATGCCACCTACGATCGAGGGCCACTGGGTCTCCACAGGGTATGAGAGGCAAGGGTGGGAGTGGGGCTGGGGAAAGCCCAGGAAGCTCACCTTTGTCAGAGACCCTTAATCTTGTTTAATTAATTAACCCTTATGGTTGTTCGGGTGCATCGGGACTTTACATAATCTGTCATGATTTAGATGTTGTCAAGAGTTCTAACTAAGGAGTAAGCAACTCTTGGAAAGTATGGTTGGTTAAGAAACAGAGTACTGGAAGGAACCAGCAGTTAGCGTAATGGCTATGTCTCTGTACTCCCATGTAGTCGACTGTGGTTCCAATCCCAGACTCAGTGGCTTCAAATTCACGCCGGGCACGTATGCATGTGTGCCCAGGATCCCGAGAGGAGAATGGAGGAGAAGAGATTGCGGCGTGACCATCCCCCCCGGGGGTGATTTCTTGCTTTCTGTCTCTCTGTCTCTCTCTGTCCGTCTGGCAAGCGCACACACCCTATAGCAAAAACTTCTCAAAAAAAAAAAAAATGAAAAAAGAAACAGAGAACTGTAGAAACCTTATGTTAAAGCAGAGATTATATTGTACCACTGTTAACCACAGTGTGAGTGAATAGATCCTTGTTTACTGAACTCCATGAGACCATTTGTGTATAGACAGAAACCATTAGCAAGTGAAATTAAGAGTCTGTGTTTCACCAACCCTGAAACATGACTTGCAAGCTCCTTATGATTTAAATATTCTAGCCATATTCTGGTAATTTAATATATGGCTTCAGGGTTCTAAGAGTAAGTTGAAAGCTATCCTCTTCTAGCCTGGGCATACTTCTTGGATTCTTTTCCATGCTGTGAAGCTGAGATTTATCCCAGTTTGAGCTCTGGCTTATCTTCCATTAGAGCTTTTAAAATAGCCTAGAGGCAGATCTGTGATTTTTTTTTTTCCCCCTACCTATTAAGTTCTGGAGAATTAACAAGACTAACTCTGGGATCTGATCACTTCTCTCTGCACTATTCGTGGGATATAGCTAGCAGCCTCCTGTTACCTTGGGGAGGGATCAAGTGAATCCAGAAAATAGAATAAAGAAATTTTATAAAAAGATGAAGACTTAGAATTTTTTTTCTCTAAAAAACGGGGTCTCTCAAAATAAATGCATCATAAATAATTTGCGTAATTGTCTTAATGTGATCTACATAATATACATTTCCCATGAACTTTTTGAAGACTCTTTGTCCTATGAAGGAGTGATAACCAGGGACCAACAGTTGCTAAAGGAAAGTACCAGGAAGCCCTATTTTAGGATGAGGGTAAGGTCAAGAAAGTCTGCCAAAGAAGGGGACTTGAAGGTCATCTTTGGCTGAGCAAAGTATGCAGAAATCACTTTCGATCTAGAAGAACTGGTAGGGCTGGGCTGAATGCAGAGTGAGCAAAAGTCAGGCTAGATTGGAGAACCGCTTGACCCAAAGGCCTGTGAGCTGGTGTAGTAAACCAGGGGAGAACAGCCAGAGGAGGCTGAAGAGAAGGGAGTGGCAACTCTTGAGGGCATCTTGCTTCTAGAGCTCTCCTCTAAATCTAAGAGAACTGGAAAGTCATTGCAGAATATTCAGCAGGTGTCATGCTTAAAACATGACTCAACTTTATTAAAAGACACTCAGGCTACTCTGTGGCAAATGGGTGGGAGAAAAAGTGATTTGGGGATAACCTATTAAAGACTATTGCAACAGCCCAGCTGCAGTACTGCATGCTGGTTGACACTGCTATTCAGTAGGCTGAGGCCAGGTGGAAGGCCCAGGTTCAATTCCTGGCCCACCTAAAAGGTGAGTGTAGGCTGTACGTGCCCATGGCCCCACCTACTTGGGAGGCTGAGCAGGAAGATCATGAAAGCTAGACACTTTCAAAAAAAAAAAGACTATCACAACAGTTCTGGCTGCAGATAGCAGAGGTTTAGGTAAAGGGAGCAGCAAGAGCCATGGGAGCTGTGTGGGTCTGGGATATACTGTGTAGGAGCCAGAGTCATCAGATTGTCAGCAGTTCAATAAAAAATTTCAAATGTGGGCTCCTCTTATCTGAACATTCATTGCTGTTAGTTATTGCTTACACTCAGCTTCTCTTTCCTTGGGGGAGAGATCTGGATTTCCCCTCACTTCTTTTACACAAGTTACAGATGCTCACGGTACTGCTATGTGCTTTCCATTCACAGAATGTTACTTAACATCTTTTGACACACTTCACATAGCAAAAGGGTTCCACTTCTAAATGCTGTTTATCTTTCCCATCTGCTAACTAAAAAATATAATGTTTGCCATTTTGAGAACCACTTGTGTTTGGAGTTTTAGACCAGTGGCTTGATTTAGTCACTCAAACCAGACTCTCTTGAAGTCGTAGACATGAGCTGAGTTAGAAGGGTCAAACTGATGCGTCAAAAGTCCCTAACAAAAACTCGTGGACAAATTCTCAGGCCAGTGCTTTAAGAACGTTCCCCCTCCCTGTGTAGGCTCTGCTGTTGTATGAATTCATGACAGGTAGAGGGACATGAGAATGTCCCTGAGTTAAAACTGCTGAGCCATTAATACTCAGCAGTCCTAGTCTGAATGTTTCTGGCTCCTGCCATTTATTTAATACCACAGCAAAGGATGTTTTCTCATTGTCAACCAGCACAAATAAAAGGAACCCTTATTTCTGTTGTGTTAGCTTTGCTTTCACTTAATTGCCCCTTATTTTTCTGCTGGAAGAAAAGCTAATTTTGAATGGACAGGAGAACAAATGTCCATTACCCCTAGGTGACAACTTCTGCCCATTTCAGGGCCATGGAGAAGGTTCATGGAAAGGAAGTGTCGAGGAAGTCAGCCTATTTGAACCAACACAAGAGAACTTTTTGATAGGCCAACACTATACTCCTCTTCCTTATCCAGAAAGAAATGTCTCTGTAGGTTGGGCATGCAGGTGACATTGAGGACAGCAGGTCGCTGTTCTCCTGGCCTGTTCATGAATGAATGGGAGGCTTTCTGGTGTGGAGTGACTAGGAGCACATCAAGGGTTGCAGGCTGGCTCTGACACTTGTGGTTATTTGAGCATGGTCATGTTCCCTAACCTTGTGCCTTGGTCTCCCCATTTGTAAGGTGTGAGTGATAATCTTAGGTCGTGAGGATTTAATAAATCGGAGTTATAAAGGTCTGCTGGCAGTAAGCACTTTGTTATTGCTGCTGCAATTTCTTTTTTCCTTTTTTTTTTTTAAGATTTTTGCTATAGGGCATGTGTGCTTACTAGAGAGAGAGATAAAAGAGAGAAAGTGAGAAATCATCCTCCACAGGGGGGATTACCATGCCACAGTTCCTTCTCCTCCACTCGGGATTTTGGACATGCATACACACGCACCTGATGTGATTCTCCAGCTGCCAGGTCCAGGACTTGAACTCCGAAGCTGGCCATGTGGGATCCAGCACCTTACCCTCCATGCCACCTGCTGGCTTGCTGTTGTAATTTTGTATTACTGTGATTTTCTTTCTTATACCTTTGGGTTAATAAGGTATTTCCTTCCCCTTTTCTTCTTCAGCTGTGAAGTGAGGTCGGGCCCAGAGTTTATCACAAGGTCTTACAGATTCTACCATAATAACACCTTCAAGGCCTACCAGTTTTATTATGGCAGGGACAGCTGCACAAACCCCACCTACACTCTCATCATCCGGGGCAAGATCCGCCTCCGCCAAGCATCCTGGATCATCCGAGGGGGCACTGAGGCCGACTACCAGCTGCACAATGTCCAGGTCATCTGCCACACAGAGGCGGTGGCCGAGCAGCTCAGCCAAGTGGTGAACCACACGTGCCCGGGCTTTCTGGCCACCGGGAGCCCCTGGGTGCAGGATGTGGCCTATGATCTGTGGCGGGAAGAGAATGGCTGTGAGTGCACGAAGGCCGTGAACTTCGCCATGCATGAGCTTCAGCTCATCCGGGTGGAGAAGCAGTACCTGCACCACAACCTTGACCACCTCGTTGAAGAGCTCTTCCTCGGCGACATTCATACCGATGCCACCCAGAGGATGTTCTACCGGCCGTCCAGTTACCAGCCCCCCCTGCAAAATGCCAAGGTACCCCTTTCAGTGACTGCCCCCCTGCAAAATGCCAAAGTACCCCTTTCAGTGACTGCCCGCAGAGCCTCGTGGTCTCCATTAAGTAAAGCGGGTGATCCTTTGTAAAGGCTTGTCACAGGGAACCGTGACCAGGAGAGGCCCAGGTGGGGCTGCGGGGACATGAGGAAATGTGGGTGGTGTGGGGAGGGACACTTACTGGGCAGGGGAACTGGCTCTGCTACCAACTGCTTTGTGCCTTGGTTTCCCTCTTTGAAGTGGCCATTTGGGGTGATTATCTTGGAAAGTTTCTAAAGCTCCTTTCATCCTCACAACCTTCAGAATGAACCACTTCGGAGTTTTTAAGAGAAGGGGAAAGGAATGTGGAGATGTTCTAACCACATTTGGAGGAGACACCCAGTGATAAAAGTGGCAGCCCCAGTCCTGGAGGAGGTAGAGAGGCACAGAAGGGGGAAAGCAACCATGCACTTTCACAGGGCTTTAGATCAGTCCATTTCTTTATGTTGCTTCCGGTCTTCGCAGTGACCTTGTGAGGCGAATGTTATTGTGACCCTCTGAGGCAGAAGAGGCTGCCGAGGTCTGGAAGCTCACGTGTTTAGCTGTTTCAGTGTGAACGGGAGCCTGGAGCGCCTTCTTTAGATCAGTCCATTTCTTTATGTTGCTTCCGGTCTTCACAGTGACCTTGTGAGGTTCGCCTGTTATTGTGACCCTCTGAGGCAGAAGAGGCTGCCGAGGTCTGGAAGCTCACGTGTTTAGCTGTTTCAGTGTGAACGGGAGCCTGGAGCGCCTTCCTCCAGCTCCCACGTTCTCTCCTTTTTACCAAGTGAAATGCCCAGTCCTGCAATCAGAGGGAGGACTGCGGAGAGCAGGAAACAATTAAAACCTTATGATGTTCTTTCCTTGAACGATACTCCAGTAATTATATTTGGAATTCACAAGGCATTTCCTTCCCACAGGCTCAGTGTACATGGCCGTGTGTAACGCGATCGTTTCCACTGCAGAGTCTGTGGAGTTCGAGGCTGGGAGGGGCGATTTGATTATGGCCAGTCAGCATCAAGGAGCAGAGAGCCCCGCCGTGTGGGACTCTGTTCTCTGGAGTTCTCCCCTAGCCATGCTGACTGGCACTTGTAGGACACTCTGGAATGTGCTCCTTTGACTTTTGGTTGGCGGTTTATTCATTTTTGGGTTTTTGCTTTTTAAAATAAAAATTAATAGTGAGTATATGCACTGTCTGGGGGTGGGATGGGTGGGACAGTGAGAAAGCACCCCCATGGGGAATGGTTATGCCACAGTCCCTCCTCCATTACACCTTTCAGGCTCTTGGGCACACATGCACAACTGCCCAGCATCACGCACACATGCCCAGCATGTTTTTCAAGCCACTGGGTCTGGGATTCAAACCATGTGGGATCCAGTGCCTTAACTACCACAACCACCTGCTGGCCAAGTTTATTCATTTTTTTTTTACTATTCTTCAGTAAAATCTTTTTTTCTTTGTAGTCTTGGAGCTCACTCATAAATAGTTGAGATAGTACAGGGAACTTCCTCTGCCAAAGACTGCTCAGTGTTATCCTTTTCTATCTATGTTATTATGAACTCACATAGTGAAAGTACCTCTTACTGTAATTGTAAAAAGTCTGCTGAGGGGGACCAGCAGTTAGCATAATGGCTATGTCGCTGGACTCCCATATAATTGACTGTGGTTCGCGTCCTGGACCCGGTAGCTTAAAACTCATGCCGGGTGCATGTGCGGGCATGCCCAAGATCCCGAGGAGGAGAAGGGATTGCGGCATGGCCATCTCCCTGGGGCGTGATTTCTCGCTTTCTGTCTCTCTGTCTCTCGCAGTCTGTCTGGAGAGCGCATGTGCCCTACAGCAAAAACCTCTCCAAAAAAAAAAAAATCTGCTGAGGAAGCCTGCTTGACAGGGCTGCTTCCTCGGGATGAATCTCATCAGGAATATGTTCCTTGTGCAAGACGCAACCTCGGACCCTGTGCTCCTGCCTCCCTACTTCCTTGCTGAGCACAGGCGGCTCACAGGTGCATGAACATGTGTGTGTGACCTGGGCTGTGTTACACTGGGGCGGATGGTGGTGTGAAAACCCTGTTGGGGATGCTGTCCATGTGTGTCACCAACCACCACGCACACACACACCAGTCTCCATAGCATAAGAGCCATGGCCATTTTATTCTACCCCATAAGTTTCTAATGCATTGATGAGGCAAAGCTGAGTGGGAGTGGGGGGCAGCCTCTCATGCCGACTCTGTGGCAGCCATCTGGGCTCCCGTGTGTTCTCTGAGAATGGGTCATGCGAAGCTCTGCTTTTTCACCCTGCGACTCCCCAGGAAAGTCAGCAAGAGGAGGGTCTGCTCACGGGGTGACACTGGGTGCTAACCAGACAAGGGTATGACTTCTTTCCAGTTAGTACATTATCCAGAATCCGTGCTGAACAACCTTGCTCCATACTCCTTCTCTGGGATGTCCTGACTCGAGATAGGAGCAGAGGGAAGGGGGCTTTTCAGACCTTCATTTGGCTTCCTCTGAGTACAGTCTTGCAAACTTTCAAATGGTTTCTGGTAATGGGAGATACAAATGTCACTAGTAAAAATGGTCCACAGATAATCCAGAAATATGCTAGCCAAGAGCATCCTTCCTGCCTCACCCCAAACATTTATGAAGATCTAAGGGGTTAAACGGTGGCACAATGGTAATGCAACTGGACCCACACACGAGAGGTCTTGAGTTTGCATCCTAGGATCTTTCTGAGCATAAGCGATTCATGCTGTCCTGTGATCCAGGCTGGCTGAGGCTGGGGGTGAATTATAGCATCCTTTTGGTCACTCTCGTTTTTTGTCTCCTAAAAAAAAATTATGAATGAGCTTTTAAAATGAGAGAGAGAGACCGGCATAGTGGTTAAGGACGATGGACTCTTATGTGGCCCACGATGGTTTGAGTCCCGGACCTGGCAGCTTGCTTTCTCACTTTCCCTGTCTGTCTGTCTGTCTGTCTCTCACTCTGTCCCTCTCTAGTCAAATGAAAATAAATAAAGGTAAATAAAATAATTCTTTTTAAAAAATGAGAAAAAGATCTGCTAAGCTGGTAGAGCCTTTTTTTACCTCCTGCTTGCCAATAAGCAGCCAGAAAATGGGAAGAGATGACCTGGTTCTGAGTGAAGATGTTAAATTGCTCCTGGAGGAGGCAGGTGTGGTCACAGAACTTGCCTGGGTTGGAAGGAGAACCTGCTGTCAACTGCCTGAGCCTGACCTGGTCAGTTGCACTTAGTCCAGCCCTGGTTTCCCACCTGCACACTCCTGCATGGTTTCTTAGATCTCTGAGCTTCTTTTTAGTACTGGCGAAAAGGGAAGATTAAGCATAACCACCTTTCTTACTTCTGCCCCTTCCCCCTGGACTCGTGCTCCCAGCAGTGCGGCTCTGCAGATGGCGGTCTTAGAGGTCAAGTCAGCATTCCTACAGCTTATAGCTCCAGTTGCTTCTCTCTCACTCGTGCCCGTGAGCCAGGAGTTAGGAGTCTGCTGTGACCCTCGCCAGCCAGTGCCTTCTGTTGGGAGAGCACACAATGACTCCTGGAGGGAGAATGTTTTGAAAGTGAGAGTTACTAAACATCGGCATGGGAATTAAGGATGGCTATAGTAAAGCTGACCTTTTCAGAATCATTTTTTATGTTTATTTATTTATTTCTTCCATGAGAGAGGGAGACAGATTGAGAGTCATACACACAGAGACAGCATCCTCAACAGGGTTTTCACACCATCATGCACCTCAGTCTCATTGCGACCCAGATCACATGCACGTGCACACTCGTCCTCCATGCTCAGAGAGGCCTCAGGACATGAACCCAGGATTTTTCCCACATGGGTCCAGTGTATTATCACCGTGTCACTGCCTAGCTCTAAAATTCTGATAACAAAAAAGTTGAAAAGTTTGTTTGACAGTGTCTGGGTACACTGACCAGAATATGGACTTTGGAAGTGGTAGCCAGTCCTGGACTCCAGGTCTCCTGCCGCTGTCAGCTGTGGGACATGGGTAGTTATCTGATCAATTAGAGCCTGGGTCCTCCTTTTCTATAAAATGGTAAAAATATAAGAATCAGTGGGGCTAATGTGCAGAATACTGTCTTGGATCTGGAAAGGGCCCCTCACCAAAACTCCCTTCTCCCCTTATGGGCCGATGACTTGTAGAGGAATGAGGCCAACAGGGAACGTCAGAGTGCTTTACAATGCCTCTCTGTACAGCTTCTCCCCATTTTCTGCCCCTACTCTGCTACCACAGTTATGCAACATTTACTCAAATTCTTTTTTTTTTTTTTTTAATTTGCCAGAGGGCTCATGTGCTCTTCAGAGAGAGAGAGAGAGAGAGAGAGAGAGAAAGTAAGAATGCACCCCCTATGGGCATGGTCACGCCACAATTTCTTCTCCTCCATTTCTCCTTTTGGGCTTTTGGGCATGAACAGACATGTATCCTGCATGTTTTTTAATCTTCTGGGTCTAGGGCTCAAATCATGGGACCAGCTATGTGGGATCCAGCCATTTTAACCACCAGGCTACAGGCTGGCCCACTCAGATTCTTAAGTAATTTCTTTAGAATCTGGACGGTGGCACAGTGGTGGAATGTGATACTCTGTGAGGCCGATCCATTTAAGAGGGGGTATGGGTCCAGAGACTTATCTGAGTGCACCAGGCATGTGCATACCCATGATCTGGGGCTGGCTGAGGCTGGGGCTGGATCATAGCATTAAGACCTTATTGAGGGTATTGCCTATCTCTCTCCCTTCTCTGCATCTCTCTCACCCATGGAAGAAATACGCTTTTATTTATTTTTTTTAAAGAAGTAGACTCAGACTGGCTAATGGAGTGGTAGTTAAGGTGGCTGTATCCCACATGGCCGACTGCATAGTTTGAATCCTCAGGTCCTACGGCTTGAAAAACACATTGGATATGCATGTGTGTGTATGCCCAGAATCCCAACAGAAGGACGAAATGG